ATTGCACATGGGAACCTGTCACCATTTCTGCCATGGTCTGGAAACATCAGGAGTTTCTGGGGAGCAAATTGTTGGCTGTCATGATCAGAACCCAGAAGCACCATGCTGTTGCTTCCAGGGGACCTCTTCCTTGCAGTTCCCAGCTGAGGATGTTCAGTGGCAGGGATGCTCCCATACTGGTACTGCAGGGCCTGGCAGTGCTTTGCTGAGCAGCACCAGGGCTGTCCACTGCCCTGACAGCACTATGAACTGCACCAGGGCTGTGATGCTGTTGGGTCAGCGTTTTTTGAAGTGGCTGATACCTCCAAGGGTGGTAGTGCATCCCTGAATGCTCTGAAGTCTCATGTCCACAGTTTTGATAGCAGTGCTTCTGCACTGATGTCTGTGGAACTTCTCCAGCTGTACGGAAGTGCAAAGGGGAGTCCATCAGACCTACTGTGTTCAGGGTCCAGAGGCTGGGTTAGATCTACCTGACCAGGGCAGGTGAAAACTGAGGTGGTTTAGGAAAAAAATCTGTCCTCTCACAAACCACCTCCAGCCTGTGCAGTGGTAAGAGAAAGATGGGGTCAGACATTCCCAAGATCTCCCTGAAAGACCCAAGTGATGCAGACATTGGCTTGTGCCTGCAAGTCCCATCCATGTTTTCATCTGCAGATTGCAGAAGACACTACTGGGATCAAGGCTAAATAAAATGTTGTTTTTCTACACCAAAAATAAGTTTTGGGGCAATTATGGTACCTTATACGCTCCCTGAGCAGGTCTGACCCAGTGGATCTCAGCACCCTGCCCTCCAATGGCAGTTGCATCCATTTAGCTCCTTTTGATTCCAAATGTCATTGAATGTGGTCTTCCTAATTTTCTGTGTGATAGCTACTGTGGTTTTTTTTTATAGACTGTGCAATTTCCAATAAAACTAGAGTTAGCACAAACCAGACCTATGTTTGTTTTTTCAAAGCAAATCTAATTATTCTTCTTAATAGAATTGTCTTTTGTTCAAGGGATTGGATTGAGATGCAAAAAACGAGTTGCAAGCAGATGCTAATCATTTTGCATGTAAATTACTAGCATTTCTTTTACAAATATTTCATGCAGGTTTTTAGTTTAACAATTAAAAAAAAATCTGCTTTTCAAAACCACTTTCAGTAATGTCTGCAGACATTTAACAAAATACTTCTGGCTCTAAATCTCCAAGTAGTAAGCAAATAAATGTATTTATTTACTTTGTATGCAAAAATAATTCATTCAAAGGCACATATTTCACATGGAAATTAAACAAGAGAAATTCCCTTTTTTTTTTTTTTCCTGCTACAAATCACCAGCATACTCTTTAATGAGGAGAACTGGTGGAATTTCCGAGTGAGCTGAGTTCATGATGGTCCTGACAGAGGACTTCTATGGACTTTGTGCAGAAAATAGAGTCACTGTTTATTTCTTTGTTTAAAGACTGAAAAAAGACTGGTGATTAAAAGATGAAGCCATCTGTTCTCTCACTGTCTCGTACTTGGTCATGCTATTTCAATCAAGAAGAAAGTTGGAAAAATAATTGAGTGGGGTACGTTATAAACCTGTTTCAAAAAGTCCCTGCAGCAAGTGAGGAAGTGACGTGGTGCTCATGACCTGGCTGTTTAGTCTCTCTTTATCTGTGGGATGAAGAGAAAGTATTGGACCTTGTCTTATAAATTAAATAGTGACCTTGTCTTATAAATTAAACCAAAGAAATAAAAAGAAAATCTTGCATGCCTCAGGGTTCTGGTCAATAGATCAGTGATTTTTCAAAAATAGCTTCAGTTATCTCAGATTTCAACCTGTGCAGCAGTGGCTGCTACGAACTGCTTTGTTAGTGTGAAGCCTGTTGTGCACACCTGCACTTTCCTCTTTCCTCCAAGCTCTTCTCAGCCCAAGACAACTGAAACAGCAGTTCCCACCTGATTAGACATAATTGCTACAATTAATTTTGACAGTGAAACTTGTAAAGAGTTTCTGCCATTAATATCCCACTAGCCTTTTGTTATTGGTAGCCCCAAAGCCATCAGCAAAAGGTATGTGATGAAACTAGATGATGCACTGTAGCTGAAGGCTTGCCATTGGCCACCAAGAAGATATCAATGAAGAAAAATGTGTTTGCATGTTAAAGAGATTTAGAGAACATGCTAAATATCCTCAGGCAGGGCAGTGCTTTGAAGAGTAGCCTGTGTCCTGCTCCACTGTCCTATCTCCTTTCTGGTCATCTGGTTCTTCCTTCTCCATCCTCTTGCTCATTGTGTCAGCTCCATATGTGGGAGTGACCGTGCCAAGGATTTGTGGTGCTCAACCCTGTGAAGTCCCTGTGGAATGTCAGTTTGGTGGTAGGATGAATTGCATCCTGGTGTGTTTGTCTCGAAGTGGCACAGTTGTTGCTGGTGAGGTGATATATGTAAGAAAAAGGATAATAATGCATAAACCCAGTATTATTTAACTAGAACTTAGCTACCAAATCTGTGGGGTTTTTAAGCTGCTGAATAGACAGAGCTGGGGTGTTTTTTAGTGGTGTTGCCATGGTTTGTGTCCTGAAGTGCTATTTCAACTGAATTGTGGGGGATGAGGAATCAACCAGCCAATTCACAAAACCCATGGGATGCTTTTGTTTGCTTGTGGGGGAGCTTAAACATTTAAAGGAAATCAATATTTTTTTCTTCATATTTTCTTAAACCTTCATTGAGTTGATGTCTTTACATACATTTGCTTTAAAATAATAGAAGAATTTTGCTGCTTTATTAGTACAAGTGAATATACAATACAGGGTCTGCTTTTAAGAATTGCTGCTGCATGTCATAAATACTATATATATTTATAGTGTATATATATACACTATAATATATATTTAACTGAAAACCTAATTTTCAATAACTTTCAATTAAAATATCTTTTTTTCTCTGTGAAACAACATTTTCAAAATTTATTAGCTTTTATATTTCTTCCTCATTGAACATAGTCTTAGTTCCACATTGAAACTAAAACAGAAGTGGAAAATCCAGATATCTCATGCACGGTATATTCCATATTTTGTCAAGTTGGGAGCTATCCTTCACAGTCTACCAGTTTTTCAGTCCCCCTAAAGGAAATGTTCTTGATAAGTTTTTATTGATGGGTAACGAAGGCATGGGAAAGGGAAATTGGTTTGAGAGCTGCTGCCTGGCTGGCCCTGATGCCAAGGGGTGCCCCTGAGCCAGCCAGCACAGGCAACCACTGCAAACTGCCTGGCTCCCGGGTGAGCTGTGTTCTTCCCAGGCAAGACAAAGCCTGGAGATAAAGAGCAGATTTAAGGAGCACTTAAACACTGATCTTTGGGGAAGCTACTTCAAACACCATTTTATAGTGCTCTAAGTTATCTAGATCTCTCTTAACTTGTTTCACTTTCTTTTAAAAATATTTATTTCTTCAGCAAGGAAGACTCCCTCAGATAGGGCAATGTGATCTGTTGCACTGATAGTATTTTTGTCTGTGTGGTGCTAATGATTGATGCCAAATTCATGTATGCAGCACAGCTCTGCACTTTCTGCTGTGCTTTATTTTCTGTGGCTTCAAGCCTGCAAGGATCCCCGGGTCTGTTGCACACTGGATTTACTGTCAGAACATCAACACTTTATATAATCCCAAAATCGCTTGGGAACACATACATGAGTGTTGCTGAATGTTCAGAATGTTCGTTCTTAAGCAAGGTCTGCAGTAAATATGTGGCATTACTCCAGAGGCTTTGCTCAGATGTTGGTCATGGGTTTTCCATTGGCAAGAGTGGAAGCTCCCAAAGATTTGGGAGTGGGAAAGGCTTGGGAGGGAGCATCGCTCACCTGTAGCAGCAGCTGCCTTCACTCACAGGGCTCATAAATACCTTGTCTGGGACCTATTAGAAGGATTTTTTTGCTAAAGCAGTTTTACTTCAGAATATGCATTTTCACTGAACTTTTTTTTGCAAGGATGTCATAGTTTTTATGAACCTAGTGGGAGAATTTGGCCAGGACAAGTTTTCTGCTCAAGATCAAATTCTGGGAAGAATACCCAATCCACTAACAACCCATCTGACTCACTGAAGGTTTGGGAGCCCACTGCCACAGAATGCCCTGGCCAGCCAGATCTTTGAAAAGAAATGTAATATTTCTCTGCTGTAAAAATCTTGAAAAAAACTGGGACATGACAAGTTCTGGTCCATAACTGAGTGTAGTTTCCTCCTGGAGACTTGATGTGAAGCCAGTGCAACTGGTAATGGCGCAGCCACTCCCACAGCCAGCATTGGCTTAGGAGATGTCTTGTGCAAACCCAGGTGTCCTCTGCTCCAGGGCAGGTGTGGAACCACTTCTCAGAATCTGAAGAAATACTTTTGCCAGAAATCTTTAAAATTACTTCTTTCTCTTTATTGAAAGGTTTCCAGGCTTTGTGCCAGCATTTCCTCACGTCACTTTTGAAATTATATAGTTTACTTACTTTTGTACTCCTGTTTCTTTAAATCCACTTAAGTTGTTCAATAAACTGCCCTTTGCCTATAAAAATTTGAAGAAACCTCAATATTTTAGACAATGAGCATTGTATACATTTCTTCCCCATCACAGGGAAGGTAAGAACAAAGCCAGGGGAAGGCATCAGGAACACCAAGGCTGTCTCTGCTTCTCAGCTCTATTTTTTCTAATTTTGCTTAGTATTCCAGTCTAAATCCTGGTAAATTCCTGACTTTTTCCACATGCTTTTCACACCCGTTCACTGTAGGCTGTTTTACAAACTGCAACTCTGCCAGGGAAGGAGAACCTTTCCTTTCAGCCAGGAGTTTTCTACATGGGTGGGATCTGGCATTGCTGATGCTTCTTGTTTTCTGTTGTTAACAAACTGCAGTGCGTGACCATTATGTATCGCTCGGTGATGCCTAATTTAGAAGATCAGTGATTAATTCCTTCCATTGCTTTTTCCTCTCTCTCTCTCTCTCTCTCTATATCTCTCTCTCTCTCTCTCTCTCTCTCTCTCTCTCCCTGCAGGATGTTTTCACACCAGAGTGCAAATTTAAAGAATCCGTCTTTGAAAACTACTACGTTATTTATTCTTCCACGCTGTACCGGCAGCAAGAATCCGGACGAGCGTGGTTCCTGGGACTCAATAAAGAAGGTCAAATTATGAAGGGAAACCGGGTGAAAAAAACCAAACCCTCATCACATTTTGTACCCAAACCCATTGAAGGTATGGAATCTGCCCACTCTCTCCATCAGTGGTGTATGGGAAGGGGGAGTTTGCAAATTCATATTCATGGTTTCCTGTGTGGAGGTGTTGGGCTGCAAGACCAGAAAGCAAGGAGAATATGTATAACACTTCAGATAGGTGCTGGGCTACACTGTTAGCATTTAATCTGCTTTTCTTCCCATATAATAAACTTTGCACTCGTCCCAAAGGGGTTTCTTAGCTTTGGGATGCTAAAGGGTGAATTTAAAAGCCTGGCAACATGAGAAATTACTGGAAAAGAAAATCAGTCATTGAGCAGCCAGCAGTTTAAATGGAAGCTGATCCAGCAGTGATCATAATGTTGGGTTCTCTGTGAAGATTTTGCCAGTGTATTTCAGTAGGCTTCCAGTCCCATATAGAGTCAGTAGAGACCAGATTTATCCCACCTGATTTTAGACTTTGGCACTCTTTTTATAGTAACAGAAGAAAAATGCATCCTACCAGCACAGCTGTGGATGTACTTGGTATGTCTACCATGAGATGACTTAAATCTGTTTTTTTCTCATATGTGAGGACATCCTAGTTAGTCACCAGGGGGTAGAGATACCTTATCATACTCATTCAAAGTTAGATGGGATGCTGTCATGCCATATTTCTTCATCACAGTGAGGCTTCAATGAAAGTCATGGAATTGAAGTTTTACCCTCCTGCTGATGCCTGTACACTGCTGAAGTGTCCCTCAGCCTCCTGCAAGGTCATTTTGCTTTTTGTGGGTTGGCCCCTGATAAATGGAGAGATGTACTATGATGACCCTTGTACTTCATAGATACTAACTTGACTCTGGAAACAACTTTTTTTTCTGCTGCTTTGGAAAAGCACTGCTTTTTGATCCCCAAACTAGGTATGCCTTTCTGACCTCATCTCAGATCTGCCAATTGCCACCTCAGGGACACAGCAGTCTGGAGATGGCCTTGGCTGCATGGCTATGTGCTCCCTCTCACTCCTCCCTCTCACTAACCCCCTCTTGGCTGTGGGAGAAGGGATGAACTGATGCTGTCCTAGCAGGTACCATTCAAAAGTGGTGAAGGCCACAGCCAACTCCACAAAGTAGTAGCTGTTTTAAAAGCTTCCCATCTCAGGCTTGAGTGGCAAGCAAGTGTGAGTGACAGGCCAGCTCAGGAAGGCAGGTTGAAAGTGTGTTGGACCACTGAAGCAAAGCACAATGAGAGAAATTCATTGCAGCATTCCCAGAGTATCTGTAGCCTTTGCACGGGAAATGGAGATGTTGAAGGGGCAGAGAATATCCTGGAGCTGCTTGTCCTATGCTTGTTTTCAACAGCTTTTATGAAGCATTAGTGGGATTAGTGCCCTTAGCCCTCATTGAGTTGTGCTAAGGAACAGGGCCTGCTTCAGGCATGGGGTCAGTCATCAGCTTCTCTTGTACCTTGACTGTGAGAAGAGTCTTTCACAAGCGCCAGCTTTCACAGCTGCATTTCCAGCTCCTTCTGGTATTTCTTTGCTGCCTGGCTGGGTGTTGGCACTGAGCAGTGGGTTTCTTTAGAATCCAGGCTTCTTTTTGTAATACAGCTTGCATGGTGTCTGCTGAACGGCTCAAAAGTTGTCTTCTGCATGCATTAAACTAGACCATTCCTGCGGCTCTCCTCATGGAAAACCTTGTCTTAATAGAGGTGCCTGACCCCCACCAGAGATCTCATTGCTGCAAATGCTGCTCTGGCTTTCATTTTGAAAAACCCAGCCCAAACCAAGAGCTTCCCTTTCCCGCAGTTGCATCCTCCCACACTTGCTTCAATCACAGCTGTCACATAACCTCCCGAGCAAGTGAGCGCTTTGGAAGTTGGCAGTCAAATTAAGGGCTCCTCCAATCCTTCCCTCCTCCACATGCTTTGCAGTCAGCCTCTGTGAGCGCTGCTGCATCAAAGAGCTGGCAGTCTCCCAAGCCAAGGCACGTGTCAGCTTCCCAAAGCATTCAGCTGTCTGGGGCTACGACTCCAGACGGAGGACTCTGTTCCCAAGCCGAAGATTCATTGTAGGTAGCAGAGGCTTGCAGGGAGGGTTGGAGTAAAATGCGCTCATCTCCACGTGAGTTCTCTTTGCTGCATCCATCAAAGTCCCCGCAAGTAGAGCTTGCAAGCAGAGATGTTACAGAAAAGGGGCAATTCCTGCCCTGCTTTAACAGCTTCTTTCTTTGTCATGACTCCAAGAAAATATTCAAAGCATTCCCCTGCTCTGTTTGCATGTTCCTTCTGCAGAATGCTCTGGCTTGCCCCAGCGTGTGGGCTTTGCTGCTTATTCAGGCAGCAGCTTCCATCCACAGGAACTTTGCAGCTTCCATCCACAGAAACACCCCCAGGTTTCCTCTTGCTCAGTCCGGTACTCCACCAGCATTAGCCATACCACATGATCGCTGACACAGGAATGTATGCAAGGAGGAATCTGCTCCCCTGGGAAGGAGAGGTGTCACATACATTGCTAGGAATCACTTCACCCCACCACTTCAGTGGCAGTTATCGCTGAGATGAAGCTTCCCAGTTGTTTGTGGTGAACAGAAAAATTATGCAGCAGTTTAGTGAAGAGAGTGATTGCAGGGAAAGGAAACACAAAAAAACCCTGATTGCTCCCTGAGCTCTTTTGATTCCCATTGCTTTGTCCTGCTTTCTGAATTCAGAAGTCTTCTTGAAATTGCAAATGAACTGAAAACTAATACATAAATAGGAAATATCCTCACAGGTAATTTCTAAGTACTACATGTGTGTACATGTGCCTACATGCACATGGGTATCTGTATATGGGTGTATGTTATCTGTGGCTTTCAGCAGCTACAGCTTTCTGCTGTGCTAAACCCACAGAATGTTTTCACTCATGTAGATTTCCAGGATGCTGGAGGTACTCTGTACGAAAGTCAGTAGATACCAACTGGAAAAGTTTTGGGTTTTGGTTGGTAGGATTTGTTTGGTTTTTTAAATAGGATTAAGCTTAATCAATATGAAAGCACAAAAAACTTACTCAGTAATAACAGGGGAGATGTTAAGTTCCTCTCCCATCTGTGCACAGGCAAAGCCAAGGAAAACAGCCTGGTAGGCAGCAGTTGATGTACTGTGTGGTGCCAGTTTTGCTTAAAAACACACATACTCAACACATTTCTTTTGATATTTTTATTTCTGATCACTGATCTTTCAAGCTAAATGATCCCTAAAGTGCAAACATATAGATTGAACTAGGCTGCACAAGGAATAAGCTTGACTATAATTGTCAGTTGGACAATAAGTCTTTCAGAGCACTTTCAGTCTCCTTAAGTGTCTATAATGATTAGTGCTGGACAAACCCAACCATCAACAGTGCCTCTTGTTCTTCTAAATATCCTAACAAGTCTCAAACAATGGATGTTTCAAGTCACTTAAGTGATAATCTTGTCAGATTCTTGTTGTAGATGTGCTCTGTTACTTATATTTCCTTCTTGAAGACAAAATTTACAGATTTCTCTCCCAAAAGATTTACATTTCTTCTCACCTGGCTGAAGCTAGAAAGCGTTTGTGTTGGCAAATCTGGCCACAGAAAACTCTTCCTCCCTCTAAGTCAACCCCTAACTCCAGATTTATGGTTCTTCAGCCCTCATGATGTGAACATTTCTCAAATATGAAGGTGACCTATTAATGGCTAGTCTGGATCCATTTATTATCACTGACAATCCAAGCAGCCAGATCTTTCCCAGTGTGATTCCTCAGTGATGCAACATCCAAGTTTTGTTAACGCAGAGTCCTCAGATGTTGCAAAGAAGTACAAGGCAGTGTTGAGTAGGAAGATGTGATAGGCCTAGTGAAAATGTTTCAAAGTTTTCAATTTAATCCACAAAACATAGAATCAAAGAAAGGCTTGGGTTGGAAGGGACCTTAAACATTATTTGGTTCAACCCCCCTGCCATGAGCAGGGATGCCACCAACTTGATCAGGTGGCTCAGGGCCCCATTGAACACTTCCAGAGGTGGGACATCCACTTTATCCATCTTTGCTAACACAACTCCTCTCTTGGGTCTATCTTTCAAGTGGGAAGGCTTTGGTATATTTTCTATCCCACACTAACTCACTTGTTCATCTATCAGACTCCCAGTGATCTCATTAGATGGTAAATGTGATGTATTATAACCATGATTTTGCTTGGCTTTTTGTCATCTTTTGCTGCCTTTATTACCTGAACAAAGTGTTTCACCTGGCAGCATCTTTTGCATTTTACCACCGGATAGATGTGAGTTCAAATGCCTCTGAAATGCATCAGCTGGGACTGGGCTTAGAACACAGTAATTAGAGGCAGAAAATGAGAGTGCCTAAGCACTCACTCCCTCCTGTCCCTGACTGCTGCTGCTCAGACAATTAATTCTCTCCACTGAAGCATTAGCTAATGCAACCGCTCCTGCAGATACCGACACCCGGAGCTGTGGCATCTGTCAAGGGGAAGAGCCCGTCTCCGGGCTGCCTTCCAGAGAATGTGGGCCCAGCCCTGCCCAGACCCCAGCCAGGCTCCATCAGCGTGTGGTGATCCTGCAGGGCTGGCGACCTGCCCACCTGCTGAACAACAGCTTAGAAAAATTTTGGTTCCTCCTAACTTGCAAGAGTCTGGAGCAGGGAAAGCCGCGAGTGAAGATGGATGGATGAGATATTTCTAAGGTGCTTAGTAAGCTTTCTGACGTATTCTAGAAAAAGGAAATGGAGTCTGATGCATCCTCTGGATCTCCTCAACTTGCAGTGATGCCAAGTGAGAAATACTAGGGTCAGGACACTGATTCCTAAACTCAGACAGTCCCTGGATGATTTCAGTGTCATCATGTAGGTGATGTGCCAGTGCCATGCCTGGGAAGTAGAAATGAGACTGGAATCCTGTGCCAGCATGTAAGCAAGAGGTTGAGCTGCTCGTGGGTGACAGACAGCTCTCTCCATGACTTTGTCTTCAGAAAGAATGGTCCCTGCCATGCTCTTCCTCCTTACTTTTACTCCTTCCCAATTTGTGAGTCATTTTTTTGTGAAATTTTTTTCCTTGTGCCTGGGAATAGCAGACACTGCTGATTAGCAGGGGAGCAGGGAATTGAAAGCCGCAAGAACCAGACGTGCACAGCTCCACTGCCGTTCACCCCCTTCCATTAATGCCTGCAACTCTTCAGCAGATCAAGCTAGCGGCACTTTCCAATTAAAACATGAATATGGATGTGTTGATTGGAATCTAGGGCATAGGAGCTGATTATCTGATTGAAACTCCAAAGCATTAGCTTGGTTTCCAGACATTAAGGACTGTATTTGGCTTGGTGTGTGGGTGTGGGTGGGTGGGAGAAGCAAGGCAAAGCAGAGAGGAACTCCTGTTCTAGCGGAATTGCTCATCCTTCCAAAGCTCCTTGTGCTCTGTGCATCAGCAGACCTCCCAGGCGTCTGGGCATGCTGACTGTCACACTGCTGCTAGTTTACCTCAGTGCAGGTGACAGGACAGTGTGCCTTCACACACACACAGACACCAAACAGACCTGCCAGTGAGTGCTGCCAGTCCAGAACCACAGAGATGAGCTTCAAAGCTGGGAAGATCTGGGCACTCACAACAGTCCATTTGCAAACACCCCCCTCCCCGGTCCATGACTAACATCTCTGTGCATGAGTCACGCTCAAGCTTCCTCAGTACAAAGAGTAACAAGCTGCAGTCCAAGAGCCTGTGTTGCACAACACGTTGGACTGTCCTTAAAACTCCCCATGTGTCCATGTTCACTCACATCCGTGTATCCATGTGCACATACCCGTGTGTCGTAGTGCACACAGATTTGCAGCCACTGCTGAGCAATGGCCGTCACTCAGCACATGTGCACAAGCCTCTCGTGTAGAAGAACATCCAGGCATTCTCTTGTGCATGATGCCATGTAAATACTGCATACACTGATACTGTAGGTGTATCTAAATACTGAAAATATGCTTGTCCCATACTGCTGCAGATTTTCTGGCATGGGCTGTTGGCACAGCCTGTCTGGTACAGAGGCTTTGACAGCTCTGTCTGAAAAGCTGAGTGTAAGCAGCCTTCAACCATGCCCCACATCAGTACTTGTATCATGCATTAGACTGGAAGATAAACTTTTAATTCCTGCCCTATTTGCTTGCTACATACAGGGTATCCTTAATTAGTAGCTGCTGTTGTTTACTTCTGTAACCTGGTTTATATTCATTACTCTGTGGGCCTTGTTAGCAGCTCAGTGTTTTTGCCCAAAGGCCATGGTGAGGCCAGGATGTTGAGGAAAGGCAACATGCCATGGTGCTACTGCTGCAGGCTTTGCTTGTGCTCAGCCCTTGTGGCTCAGCCCTATGGGATGTTGGGTATGGGTGTGGGTGAGATGAGCTTGATACATGTAGCAGGTCCGTCCACCTCCAACTTGGAACCAGGGAGGTCAGGATGAAGGCAACAGTGTACTTGAGGCAGAACTTTGTGTATGGAGTGTCAGGGGCACTGAGGCAACACTGGCAAAAACACCTAATTCTGCCGAGCAAACATCGTACCAGAGAATAAAGTCAGTAACAGAAGTGATGTACATCCTCAGTGCTTATCAAGGGCTCTGCAACTTAGGATATGAAATCACAAGGGCACAGGTGTTCCTCAGTTATTAAACATTTCATACTTTCTTTAAGATTTTTTTAGGTACGTTGCCACCACCACTGTGTCATTGAGTGACACTCTCCAAGCTCAGCAGCTGAAAGGGACTGAGAGCGCCCTTTTCTGTCTGTTGCTGCCATGCTACACACTGTCCTTGCAGCATGCAGACAGCATCAATAGTCTGGGCGTGATGGGCAGTCCTGGCATTGCTCATCTTGGCCCAGACCCACGGGACAAGTGCTTAATTTTCTCTTTTTTTTCTAATTTTCATCAAAAAATATCTCCAGTAGCAATAAGAGTTGGCAGAGCAGTACCTGCCTTGAGCCACACTGGGAGGCCCAGTGTGCGTGTGTTTAAATTGCTTTGAAAGCCTTGCATGAAAAATACTCAATGGGAAAAGTAATATTTCTTCACTGCTCATATATTCGATTCAATATCTTTTCTATTAATACACAGTTGACTGCACTTTATCTCTGTCCTGTATTGTTGCACACTGCTATAACTGTTTATCTAGCCAGGAGTAAAAAGGCAGAGCAATAATGTCATTTGCAGTCTGCCTCTAATTGCTGGGATTTATTTGCAAATCAAGAGAGATTATAAATACAAGTACTTACATTGCCTTTTCATACATAGGGTCTTTTTTTTCATTTCTTCAGATAATTTTTGAAGTTTTGTTCTTGCTGATTACCCGGAACCAAACCCTGATGGACTCTATCCTGTGTTGGAGCTCTGTGCCATTGTTTGTGATGTGACAGCTTTACAAAATGAAGCAGTGCACAATCATTTCTTTTCATTCTAATTTTTGCAAAGATCCAGACATGACATTGGCGGTCTGGACTTACCTTATGTTCTCAACTGCAGTTTGCCTGCCCTTGAGATGCCTCACTATTTCAATCACATCTACACCCTGCCACATTTGCATTGAGCTCATCAGAGATGCTCCCCATTGGTGTGAGGCACTGAGCTGCTCAGCCTGTACCCCTGCTCTGGCACACCTCACATGGCACAAGGACAGCCATGAGGACTTAGTCCACATGGTGAGTTGGACAAATGCTTTGTGCTACACACAGGGACATGGGGATGAGCCATACCTTGGGCAGACGTTGCCTTCTCCGGCTGTCTAGGTTCCAGCAAGTGCATTTTTGTAGGACACACATTGCTTAGCCATGGTCTGGAGGGAAGGTTCCCTCCATCCACCCTGTTCTCAGGTGCTGCCAGATGACCACACAAAGCAGGGATGGCTCCTGGCTTGCTGTCATTGAACTCATCCTCATGTGTCCTCTCATGGCCTTGGCCTTGTCTGGCTGTCTTGATTTACAGAGGAAAAAATAAGAAGCGCTGAGAGCAGATCTCAGCTCTTGGCTGATGGAACCAAATAGGCTTGAGTCCTAGATCCAGATTCCAGATCCAGAACTCAACACCCAGAAGGCTTGGATGGCTCAGATGCAGGTGTAATTTTGATTCAGGTCTCTCAAGGGCTTTTTTTGGAGATTGAGGACTGGGGACCAGATAATCTTGGACCTGTTGTTAGATAATGATCAACATATCAAGACAATACATGGTTCTATGAATTGGAGTGTTTATTTTATGTATATGACTGTAACATGAAAAAATCATAAAGCACAGAAAACCTAGAAAGACTTATCTGTGAGCAATCTCCTATTTCTCTTTGTGCCTTTGGAAGAATCCTGAGACAGAAGCAGGACCTGACCAGCAGTGAGGGCAGGTAACAGATGCTGCTGGGTAACGGGATCTACTGCTGGGTCACTGAGGTTTCTGTGTGTGTTTGTCTTGGGCTGGAACTCCAGTCTCATATACAAAGAAATAATTCATTATGGTCACAAATGCCTGTGACTTCTATGATGTTAATGGGTGTCTTTTCTGTTCACAGTGTGCATGTACAGAGAGCCATCGCTGCATGAAATTGGAGAAAAACAAGGACGCTCAAGAAAAAGTTCAGGGACACCAACCATGAATGGAGGCAAAGTTGTTAACCAAGACTCGACATAGCTGACAAATACCCTCCCTTCTTCCAACTCCTCCCCTCCCACCCACCTACCCACCCCACCTGGCGAAACCACACTGAGACAATGACAACTGAGCAAGGCAGGACCTACCGGTAGTGGCTAGGAGTGCGAACTCCAGAATCTTTCTTTGTGTAGGACGAGAAAATCGAATCCCAGATCCTGCCTGTTGCAACGTTTTAAAAAACAAAAACAACAACAACAAAAAAGTGAAGAAAAAAATGTTTTAAATCAGGACTCCATTAACATTTTCAAAAGCAAACTGTTTGCTCTGTGATCCAAGGGGGAAAAAAATCTCATCTCTGCATAATAATAATAACTAATAAATATAATAATAATAATAATAATAAAGATGTTACCTTTAAAAATAAAACAAAGCTTTTGGAAAATTGAACTTAGCATATGATGTGAGAGAAACATGTGGGAAATGCAGCTTGGGACTGTGCTTTGTGTCTTATACTTTCACCTCACGTTCACACCACTGTTTTTAACATCCCTGCTTCCCTGGGGATGGATGGGATTTTTCACAAAGCAGGAAGGGTAGGGATAGATTATGACTCTGTTTGCTCTGCTATCAGTAAAATATGGCCTGTCCAAATTAGGAGTCTGACAGTTATGGGCAATGAAGTAGCTACTCTGTATTCAGTTTTTTCCATCTACATTCAAACACCGCGTAGTTATTTGTTGCTAATGTCACTCTGTGAGTATGTTTGACCCAAGTCTGGCATTTTACGCCTTTTTATCATAATTATTTATATTTATAGGCTTGTTTTACTGTATTAGTTGCCAGGGGCATTTGGGAAATGAGTTTTCAGGTCGCACAGGATGAAGTGATCATATTTATTAGGGGAGAGTTAGGAGATAAAGGGAAGGACGGATAGCTGCTTGCTTTAAAATAGGAAACAGAACAAGAAACGCTACTGAAATCCTTGCTGTCAGATGGAAATGGTGGGGCATGTGCTGTATGAGTGCGTAACACAGGGATTTCAGCAAGGGAAGGAGGGTGTGGGGAGGGAGCAGCTGAGGTGTGCAGAGGAGGGAGCAGCTGTAGGGGGACATGGGTGGTTGTGCCTGCCCAGCTGTGCCAGGGAGAGCACAGCTCTCCTTCCAGCAGCTGGGGTATCCCTGAGTGTTACGGCTCCACACATACCGTGATTGACACACGTTCAAAACCGAGGCTACAAACCCCTCTAATTCACAGCCTTACCACTGCCAAGACTGTGATGGGATGAGTCCCCCTGAGATGCTGCAGCAGCCTGGGTGTGGGTGTGGGCACATGTCTTGCCAGTTCCAGGGCTGCAGATGCTGGAGAAGTACTTCAGAGGCAACAAATTCACAGATTGGGAAAGGTAAGGGAGACGGCAGTGGGGTGAGGGATGCCCAGCACTCAGCCCACCTGCAGTAACAAGGGCATTAGTGAGGATTTGCAAGGCTCTTCCTGTCTGGACTTCTCTCTCCTTGTAGTTTGGAGATCAGCAGTGAACCACACACCCTTGCTCCTGGGTGGAACTGAAGCAGGGCAATATGGGCAGAAGCCTCTTTCTCTGACCACACACATTAACTTCAGACTCTGACATCTTTCAGCACCCAGGGCCTGCAGGCAAGAGGGCCAAATGGCAGCAGCAGTACAACTGCTGTTACAGAAACAGGCACTGCCTTGGCCAAGGCACCTGGGAAGCCTTTGTTGCTCAGACTGTGGGCTGCTGCAAGAGGTGAAAAACAAAATGAAAAAGTAAACACCCAAGGGCCCGGAGTGGGTGATGGGTCCGACCAACTCTCTCTGCAAGGGGAGCCAGCTTAAAGCCTTGCAGTTACAACCTGGGTGGGAGCGTTTGTGTCATTCGTAAGTGACACACCAAATACCACCTTAATTGTTGAGGATCCTCTGCTATTCCTTCCAATGGCTCAGCTGGCTGGTGCCACACACACAAAGCTGCTGTGACTGTGGGAGAGGGGCGTGCCAGGGCTGGTCATGTTGTTCCTGACCTGGGTGTCCCCCAGCCCCACGGCACTCACCAGTGCTGGGGTGTGTCAGGGCTCGGTGAGCAGCTCTGTACAGGCACAGAGCAAGCGGGGAAAGCAAAGACACAGCCAAATTTCAAGGTTATGGAAGACTCCCAGGATCAGCATGAAGGAATGAATTTCAAGCATGTCCTTTTGTGTTTTGAAAAGCTGAAACCTTGAAATAAAGAGCCTCTTGCCATGGCTCTGCCATTGAATGCTGCACCTGCGGGTAGGTCCCCTGTGCTATAGATTATCTGGGGCTGCCAGTCATGCCAGAGTGACTTACTGTTGCCTTCCAGTCCCACAACACTGGGGCAAGGTTACAAACACATGTTCAGCTTGGGAACACACACCCAGCCCTATCTAATTCATTGCTTACATTTCAGATCCCTCACAAACTAGAGAGCACCCCAAGTTAAAAGGTGGGGGAAAAGCTTACTCGCTGGAGACATGTACATTCAAAGAAATGGAGCCTCAAGACCAACACATTGAGATAGCAGGTCCCTGAACTAACCAAGCACCAAACACTAGGCCATGGTTTAGTCACTGAGCCACAACCTTTCCAGCTGTCCTTGTGGAGGGAAAGTGCAGCACCTGCCACAGAACAGAACATCCACAGCACACCATGATACCACAAACCTCTTCTGTACCCAGCCACCAGCGACTTGCCAAGGGCACTGATATCATCAAGAGCAGCTCCAGCAAGAGAGCCTAAAAATTGCTGTAACCTTGTGTGCAGGATACCCTTTACCTAAGCCCCAGGAGGCCATGGACAACAGCAGATCCAGTCCTACCATGTGCTGATTTTTCCATTGTGCAACTCACCACTCTCCACAATAGGTTTTTGTCTTGTTAAGAGTCTTTGTCCAGATCATTACAGGAGTCCTTGAAAATGCTATATTTAGGCTAAATGTCAAAATAATCTGCTCCTTTGGTCCATGGTGTTTGAGATAATAGCTCCCATATGACACTCAGTGAGCTTGCCCCCGAGAGCCAATTGTTGCACTGCCTTGGAGTAGGTCTTCTACCACGTGTTGAAGGGGAGTGCTGGCTTTCCATGATGCCTGCTTAGCCTAGGCAAACCATGAGCCACACATGATGGCATAAACCATGATAAAAACTCTCCCACATACCTTAAGAATCCTCCCACATAGCTGCGCTTTTCTTGATCTCAAGGAAGCTGCAAAAATCATCTTGTGGTGTAATGCAGGGACATCTGACATCATGATAGCCCAAAAATCAGTGAGGCTGCACAGCCCAGCTCCCTGGTGTCCACAAGCACCACATACTGACCAAGAGCTTCTTGGCTCCAGGTGCCTCAATGCCCTCCACATGCCTGAGATAGTCTGGGGAGATCCACAGCTTTCAGGTACTATGTAGGGTTTCATGCATTTATTTTTTTTATATACAAGCAAGCTTACTCTTCAGGCCACATCTTGAGGTGATGTGGATTTTGTTGATTACTCATCTGCCTCTTCCCAATCTGCAGGGAAAAGGGGAATCCACAGAGACTTCTTTGGTTTTTGAAGTTCCTGCAGTCTCTTCATTGCTACTTTCTGTTCTTGCTCAGTGTTAGAGTCTTAATGAGTGACGTTTCTTTCTTTAGCCCCACATGCCACAACCATTTAGGGAGCTTTGTAACTCAGTTTAACAATATAGTGACTATGACCCTTATCTGGCTACGTGTGATTCTAGCAGGACAAATTCCCTTCCTAGCTATGTTGACAGGACGTTGTGCAAATATGTAGCACTGAAGATGGCCAAGAAAAGTAAATGATAAAAAAGAAAGATGTTTTCATCTTACCTGGTCCGTGCTAGCTATGGTCAGTTTGCAGCAAGCCTTTGCCCTCTAAGTAAGAGATGCTGCTATAGAAGAACTTGGATGTTACAAGACCAGCAGTAGAAAATACAGAAATATGGGTACATTTAAAGCATTCATTTTGCTTCACTCTGTTTTTAATTGTGATGTTGGCATGGTTCTGGCAGTACATGCTGTGCAACACAGTTCCACTCCCCTATGCATCAAGGGCAAAACTTGGTAACATGGCACCAGCTTGGACCATAAGGATTTTCCTAGTAAAAAAAGGAAGAAAAAGCTACCAGTAGAACAAGTGTGCCATACTGCATCAGCAAGTTCTGCCATGAGTGTCAGCACTGGCATGTGACAATATGCTATAAAGCGAAGCTGACACTCAACAAAGCAATTTATGAAAGTTGTCTGTCAACAACATTTTTGTTTGCACTCAGATAGGTACTGGTTGATAAAGGCCCACACAATCCCTCAAGCTGTCATTGGCCTCACTTTACACCTTTGTATCTTAAACTGCACTGACTGTGCACCAGAAGAGTTTTGGCCCCAGAAAGGCATCACTGCCACTCTGAGCAATGCTGAAGAAGTGATGGTGTAAGCACCCAAGGTTGAGCAGAGCCAGCAGGAAAGAAAGTGTGCCATCCTTCCTGGTTCCATGCCAGCAAAACTGCAGTATAGATGCATGCTAGGCATGAAAAACATCTTTTTGAGGACTACACTTCCTAAAAAAAGAAGGCATAGAGTTGTCATTAGTTACAGCACACAGATCCAACCTTTGGTAACGACATGCACTAAAATACATTACTTTTAACACGTGTGAGATGTTGGCAACAAAACATGTCCAGTGCTAAAACTCTATTAACCGGGCTATAACGTAGCCCTGGTCCTAGATGGCAAAGATCAGTTTGTATGTCACTGCATCAAGGGAATTAAAAACAAGAAAATACACAAATGAGAGCCTTCAGGGACAGATTTCTGCCCCAAAACTGTAACAAAGTTGTTAGTTGCTGCTATGGGATGACCCACTGCACAGACCTAGGAGTAAAATCAAAAGAAACACTACTGCATCTCAGTGAAGCAGAGATGTTTCCATGGAATTCACTTCTTCCTTCTCCCCCACCAATGCCTTCAGGGTGATGGAAGGCTGTTTCCATGGAGTAAAAGACATCAAGGCTTATATCCTCCTCACCAGCATGGAGTAAAGCTTTACTGTTATGTTTCAGCTACTGAGCAACGATCATGGCATCAATCAATTTCCCAGTATTCTTGTTAGACACCTTAATTAAGGATAAAAGAAAAACCAAACAAACAACAAAAAGCCCAACAACGAAACAAAAAGGCCACCCCCAACAAAACACTAAAATAACCCCTTAGCCAGGCTGACATATTTTTAGCAACATGTTTAAGCACCTCAAAACTTCTTAAACATTCGTGGCCACAAAGTTAAAGCCAAGTAACTACCCTTTCAGGACAGATTTCTTTTCATATACTTGCATAATGAACTGCTGCATACACAGAAAGTTGGACATCTTCCCAGCCTGCCTCCCTCTTGGACTTAAGGCACCTTCTCTATGGTGAAG